ATGATTGATAGACTAATCGAAATTGGAAGGTGCTATGGCATGGAAATGAATGTGGAAAAAACAAAAGTAATGAAAACTTCGAGACAACCAACCCCAGTCTCAATAAAGATAGACCAAAAACAACTGGAGAATGTGAAATGTTTTAAATATTTGGGTAGCTTGTTAACAGATGATGGAAGATGTACTTGTGAAATTAAATCTAGGATTGCCATGGCAAAAGCTGCATTTAGCAAGAAGAAAAATCTTTTTACCAGCAAATTGGACTTAAATTTGAGAAAGAAACTAGTGAAATGCTACATTTGAAGCATGGCTTTGTATGAGGCTGAAACTTGGACACTTAGGGCAGTAGATCAGAAACACCTGGAAAGCTTCGAAATGTGGTGTTGGAGAAAGATGGAGAAGATCAGTTGGACCGATTATGTGAGAAATGAAGAAGTGTTAATTAGAGTCAGTGAGCAGAGGAGTATCCTACATGAAATAAGAAAACGGAAGGCTAATTGGATTGGTCATATCTTACGCAGTAACTGCCTTCTAAAAGAAGTTATTGAAGGAAAGATGGAGAGGCAGATAGAAGTGACCAGAAGACGAGGAGGAAGATGTAAGAAGATGCTGGATGACTTTGGGGACAGAAGAGGATAATCTCATTTGAAGGAGAAAGCTCTAGATCGCATTAAGTAGAGGAACTGTTTTGGAAGAGACTGTGGACTTGTCGTCTTGACAGATTACTGATGAATGAATGAATGAATGAATGATGTGGTTTAATCAGTTAAGGATGTGGTTATGGCCTGGATGGTCAGAAATTGGTTCCTGGCAGGGCTACATTGGACCCAGTTTTGTTCTTAATTCCACCTCCTATGCAGCAAGTGCTGGGGATTATTGACCAGGAGGAAAAGGAGGAAATAAACTGCTAGAACAATTAAACAATTACTCACCTCCATTCAATACCAAGGTCAAGAATACATGGTACTTTACCTTATTCCTACTATGTACTGTACCTACATTCACGTCATGATGCTTACCCACAGGAAATACTCTGTATTAATATAAATTTGCTTGATTTGAATTTTGTCAGATTTATGAAAGCCTATCATATTAGGAATTCATATATGGCCTAAAATATTTATTTCACAAATTATTTTTTTTCTCATACAATCACTGAGTAGATGAATATTGAACAAAATAAAATATACAGACAGATATATCACATACACTATTTGCATTCCATGGACAAATAAACACAGTCTGAGAGTCATAGCAGAATAAGCAGAAAAATCATGATGAACTTAGTTTTACACAAAAGAATAATTCCTTGCAATTATTCCACAATAAATATTACAACTCCACATACAATTATCAGACTGCTGTCAATGATGTAAATTTCACAAATTCCCCAACAGAACAAAAGGTGACCAACAAAGACTATTAACAATGACTGAAATTATCTTCTGTTAGTTGAGGGATTTCTAGTCCTTATTGTGATCTTTTTATGCAACTTATTTCCTGCATAATATACACAAATTTATGGAACACTATTAAGATTATCAATTGGTCTGTGGAGGCTTGTTTCAAGATAGAATGAATAATTCTACAAATAGTATGCACACTCCAGGCTGCAGAACTACCAACCTTTCCTAATGCTTGAGAACAAAGTTGCATAGTCTTCCCTTGGTAAGACTGTTCTGTCAGTTAGTTCCTTACTTGTTATGAATACGGTTTCTAGGATGGAAAGAGACATGTAGTATGTTGCTTCAGATGTTATCATCTCGTACTTAGTTTCCTGTAGAGCTATTTGACTGGCATCCATGTGGTCTGCAAAATTGAATAAACAGTGTGAGGAACTAAGCAGACTGGTGTAGTGGCAATGCTGTAAACTCGAATTCAGGAAGTGCTGAGTTCAGATGTATGCTGGGGTTTTGTTTATCCTGATTCAGGCCTTCCATGGCTTTCCTCAGTCCTTCTATGCAAATCTCTGAACAGTTCCTCAATTATGCCATTACTATTTTCTTCCAAATCCTTTCAAATTCATCAATAATCATAACATTTTATGCTAAATAGTCTAGATAATGGCAGCATCATGAAAAATAAACCTCTGAAATATCAGAATATGATGAAGAAAGAGTTAAGAGAAGCAAGATCAGAAAATTTAAATATATTGATACTATAAGGGGAGGAAGATTATACCATATGACATAACTGCATGAAAATAGGAATAATAAATCATCCTTAGTGATTCATGGGACACAAAGGGTCTTAAAGATCTAATAGCATAACATGCTTTGCTTAATTTAACCGTAAGTCCATCAATATGATGCTTCCATGACAAGGAGCTATCAACAGTAATACGTAAAAACCGAGTATTTGTATTGTTAATAATCTATTTATTATTATAACTGATATCTAATTGAACTGTTTGGCTATTAGTGGTTCTAAATTGTATATAGTGAGTTTTGTTATAATTTAATGAAAACAAATTGATATTAAACCATTCATTCATCTGTCATCCACACGATTGAGGATGCGGAAACAGTCATACAGGAGGAGCAATAAAAAACATACATAATCAATCAGAACATTACACAACATAACAACAACATTTGGCAGCCAGTCATTAAAAGTGAAGATTATTATTATTCTTGCCACATTTAAAATCAAAATATTCATCTAAAGTATAAAATGAATGATCACATAAAAATTTTTCCAAAGTCAGTTTAAAATCTCTAGAATTGTTATATAATTGCTTTATGAAAACAGGAAGGTTATTAAACACCATGATACCCATATAATAACCTCTCTTGAGATATAGTGACCAATGGGCTGAAGGTTGATTAAGATTAAAATTATAACCCTGTCTTGTATTTCTTGTATATCAGATATAAATTGATATGAATCCATGTTGTTAACCATAAAAGACTGTAAGAATAGATACACTGGGACTGAAGAGGGAGAATACCCAAAGTTATGAATCTCTACTAGCAATACCCATCATTATTCTGAGTGCCCTCTTCTGCATGCGGAACATGTTAATAGCATATGAGGAATTTCCCAAAAATATGATGCCATAATGCATGATGGAATGAAAATAAGCATAGTAGACCATCAACAAATTAACGAAAGGCTTGACCCTGAATGTACATTAACATTGTCAGAGATGTGGCCTTCACTGTGGTGACTATGAGGAGTTTTCGTCTTGTGGAATATAATGCCATGTAAGCTCTGCTCTTTCATTGCTTGGCTTACTCTTTGACCCTGAAGATTGATGCATTACATTCTCCTAAAATGTCAGTAACCTTCTACCAGACTACACAACATCTCATCCCAGAAAACAGTACTTATCATGTGTTAACTTACCTAGCAGACCAGATCTTACGACCTCATTAATGTCAACCCAGCGCAATCGTTGACTGCTGCCAGAAGGTTTACTTATTTCCAGTTTGGGAATGGATATTTCCTTATCATTTCTTCGTGGTTGAAGTTGCATCGGAAAATTAATTTCTTCGTATATATGTTCCTCTGGTTCTGTGTAGATGTTCTCTTCTGCTTTAGTATTTGAATCTTTTACCTTTAGTAGAAGTGATATTCAATGAGATTTCCCATACAGTTTTAAATGATGTTACCAAATATATATGAAGGTAAGTCACATAGTATCTACAAAATTCAGCCTTTTATTTCCAAATTTGCTTCACTGGCGAATAGATTCGCAACTGTAAGGACAGAACTCCCTTACTGTTGTAGGGCCTTATTTGACCTTAATCATTCAGTTGTTTTTCATAACTATTGGTGTCAACATGGCCACTCTGCTTACTACATATGAAAAAGCAGAGCAGCATGCAATAATTCAGTTTGTATAGGCTGAAGGTGCAAGAGGTTCACAAATTCAACGAAGGCTATCAGCAAGTTATGATAACAGTGTTTCAACAGAGTGGAGTGTGGTTTGGTTGACATGTTAAAAATGCCGAAAAAGCAACATTTTGGCCGTGAAGCAAATTGTGGAACTTTCTTGTTAACAATAAGAATGTCAGTATTTACCAGGTGGTCAGAATCAGCAAGTTATGATAACAGTGTTTCAACAGAGTGGAGTGTGGTTTGGTTGACATGTTAAAAATGCCGAAAAAGCAACATTTTGGCCGTGAAGCAAATTGTGGAACTTTCTTGTTAACAATAAGAATGTCAGTATTTACCAGGTGGTCAGAATCAGCAAGTTATGATAACAGTGTTTCAACAGAGTGGAGTGTGGTTTGGTTGACATGTTAAAAATGCCGAAAAAGCAACATTTTGGCCGTGAAGCAAATTGTGGAACTTTCTTGTTAACAATAAGAATGTCAGTATTTACCAGGTGGTCAGAATTAGAAATAATTACATCCTACCACATATAAATGTCACAGTTTTTATAGCTAAAACTCAAAATGTGTCCAAGATAAACCTTTTTTTAATATTCTCTTATCAAAACAAAAGACGGATGTCAAAACATACTCTACATATTTAATGGGACAGTTTCACATGGATGTCAGAACTGTTCTATTTATAATGGTGAAAAGTCTGATACCCTTGTTATCCATGCAGGGGGAGAGCAAGGTTTCATCCCTAATGCCTATGTCTGCTTAAAATCCCACCAAAAAACAGGAGACTACCACAGTGACATGAACTACAACAATTATGAAAAATGGTTAAAGGAGCAACTTATTCCTAACCTTCCCCCAAATTCTGTCCTTGTCATTGATAATGCTCCCTACCATAATGTACAACTAAACAGAGCCCCTAACTCAAATTCAAGAAGAGATTTTATGATATCCTGGCTAAAATATCATCTTCCACATATTACCTTCAATAACACTGATTTTTCATCATTGCAGAATCCACACATATATAATATGATCATACCACTCAAACCGAAATACCTTTCCTATAAAACAGATGGAATCTTTGCAGAACACAATCACAATATTTTACAACTCCCTCCGTATCACCAAGAACTCAACACAATTGGGTTAATATGGGCCACCATAAGAAATTGGGTTGCTCAAAATAATACCACATTTAAGATGGACAATGACATTAAACTGGCAGACGGAAAATTGGCTTCCATAACTGCAGAAGACTGGCAACGTAGGTGCCAACATGTAAGGAACATTGAGCAACAATTAATGGCACGGGAAGGCCTTTTGGACACAGGACAGGAGTTTGTCTTCCACGTTGGCAGTGATAGTGATGACAGTTCTGATGATAAGTCCAGTTCATCTGGTGGTGATGAGGAAGGACAGACATGTGGAGATGATATTTATGCGGACATTGCCGGTGTTGCCCCTTTAGAATAGACCCGTGTAATATGTACATAAACTCTTCACGTATATAACAGTGAAAAGTGTATAATAGTGTATAGTGCATAACAGCCTGCCATTCGGCACTTAAAACTTAACATCGGATGTGTGAACATCAACGAGACTAAACCACCATCACTATGCAACACAATGAGGTAAGAAGTTATGTCCTCTTGAGAACGCATGTACTGCATTCCCTGCCACACTTGTCGGCATGCTGGAGCTCTCCCCGCCACTACCAATACTTCTCCTACTCCGCGTCAGAGGACTGTCAACTCTAAGTACTACAGCTATAAATAAAAACATAAAATGCTGAAGACTTACATCTCCAAAATTGTAGGTCTGGTATATTGGAATATTGTATGTTGAAAGTGATCTGCTGTTTAAATTATCTCCATTCATATGATTTCTGTCACATGGCTTGCATTCTTCGTATGCATTTCCACAGTCATCAACTCTTATATTACACTCTGAATACGTTTTCCTTCTCTTACCACACTCTGTTCTATTTCCACCGTTAACCTTCCTGTCTAATGATTCATAAAGGCTCACTGGCTCGAGTTTGTGATAATTTGCCCTAAATGATTCATTCATTGGCTCATAGTGATTGTACATTTCATCCACTCTGGCATTCTCTTTCTGTAAAGGAAAGTGAGGTTTGTACAGTGTACCGAGGCAACCAAGGTCATAGAAGCTGATGAAAATTTGTTGCTCATGTCTTGGTAACTGTTTAATAATGCATGACTTCTCGGCTGCAGCTTCTTCAGTGGATGAAATATCTTTGGTCATAGAACTGCTTATATCACTTGATGGACTTCTGTGTTTTTGAAGTTGGCTATTGACTAAAGAAAAATTATCTGAACATTTCTCTTCTTCATTTAGAAGTGTGCAATGAACTTCTCTGTTTGCTTCATGGGTGCAACATTCACTCTTTCTGTGAAGTCCATTTGTAAGGAGGTCATCTTTCAAAGAGACTGCCTCATCTTTTATGAACAGTGCTTTGGATGGTTGGGGCACTGGTGAAGTGGGCTTATTTACTACAAACGTTGTATCTAATTGCTTATCTGCATTACAATGTTCAGACAGTTTCTCACAGTTATTATGTTGTAGCCCCAAAGAGGGAATGCTGTGAATCTGCATTTTAGAGGGTTGAGGACAACTGTTACGAATTGTACAATTTTTAACCTTTAAATTGTCATGTACTGAAAACCTTCTAATGACATCTTTGACATAAGATGATTCAGGGTTTGAGTTTGTCAAATTTCCAGAAAAGTTAGGTATACAGATATGATGAGAATTTGTACTAATTACAGATGTATTAGGCGGTTTATCATTGCTATTTATGCTAGATGTGATGTGGAGAGTTTTGTTATTATCAACTGAAATTTTTACTTTGTTTTCCAACAGAACTCTATGCTTCTTGCTCCCTGCATTTCTCACTGACCTAGACGCTGTTTCATACAGGCAGGAACATTGTCTTCTACCTTCCACTGTAGCACTGTGAATACTACCCGTAGGTTCAGAAACAGAATATTTTGACTCTGTATGGTAGCTATTTCTTTTACAGGAATTCTTAGTTGGTTGCCCTTCTGCATATGAAATAGATCGTTTGCTGTTACTTACAAGAGGAACTTTAATGGGTTCTTCTCTTCTCACACTCATATTAAATTTATCACCACATTTTACCATAGCTCTGGAATTTATTTCTACAGTCTGAATATTTAAGCACTGCTGTTTCACTGATGGACACCCATTTACAGTCACATTAGGCAGTGGGCCCTTTTCTGAAGATTTATGATCTGTGTCTTCTACAGAATCATTTGATTGTTTACCACAGATTACACTGGTGCAAAATAAAATATTTTCTTGGTGTTGTGATGTGTTCTTTCCTGCTGGCTTTGGTTCAAAACAATGCACATTTTCTTCTAAGGTTCTACCCAACTTCTCAAGGTATGTTGAGCCATGGAGTGTTCCAAGAACTTTGTAGCATTCTTCCAAGAGCTGAAAGAAATAATTAAAATAATTGAAGCTATGATAACTGCATTAATCCAGAAATTAATAAAATAATCCAACTGACATTTTATAATGTAGTTTCAAACTCAAGCTTAATACAATTATTGAATTTCAAATTTGTTTCATGGCTTCTTTCTCAGAATGAATTCCCAATCCATATTTCAGAGACTGGTTGCCAGCAGTCTAAAACGATTTACCATATGGTAATTTTTATTTCAGAATGTATGAAAATAAGACAGAAGAAACGTAATGAAGAACGGGTGAAAAGTTTATTTATGCTAGTAAATATTTAAATAGGCTAATGATGCTTATAAACAAAATGAATCCAACAGAATGTGTAAATACTGTCACATGTTAAGTGATTAGACATGGGGTTTGGACTGGTAATTGGATTTATTTTACTCTTAAAACTCACAACTACAATTAATTATAGCGCTATAGCTATAATTCATCCCAACAGAGGACACCGTTTCCAACAATTCCTCTATTGCTGCATGTGTAACAGTTGTCATGGTCATGTGCTGCTTACTGGATGCTGTGTAGCAGGGAATCTCTATTAAATTTTGTCATTGCGTGCTTATAGTTTCATAACATAGCAATAGGCATCTATTCTGATTAAACTGTTCCAGCATTCAGTGGACATGCCACAGTATGTTTCAATTTCTGTCAAATCAAAGGTTGTGATGTAGGCGAATATCAAATGTTCTATCTGTGGATATGATGTTATGCAGTCTCACAGGAGTTCACCAGCATACAGAGGAGAGTACTGCCTCTAACCTCACTCTTTTTTCTGCTTGGTTTACTTACTTTCTAACCCTGAAGGCAGAAGCAGTATATTGCTCCACATCACTGAATTTTTTTCCACATTGTATGACATCACAGTCCAGAAGATCACACTTTTCAATTTTGTATATTTATTTCATTAAATATCTTACACATCAAAATAAATATTTAAGTAAATTCACATCCATTTATGAGATTAACATTCAATATTACAATCTAGGCTCCATATTGTGTTCCTTGATTTAAAGATTTCCTTCATTTAAAATTCAGTTTCAGTGAACTCGTGCCAATATCTCAACATTAGGTTCCCTCAATTTAAGATTTTTCCTCAGTTTAGAATTAAATTCCACTAGTCATCCAAATAAACATTTAAATGAGAGTTTCACTGAATACATATTTCATTCTTGTGATGAAATATTCTTGAGATAATGACAATGTTCTTTAAATATCCAAAAAACTTAAATTCCGTTGACAACTAAGAGGATGAGCAATGAACCACTAATTACTTGACCACACAAAATATATCAATAAATAAATGCACTGTGAAATGTTATGGTAGTAGTCTATACCAAATTTTATTCAACTAACATTTAAGTCGGTATGTGTGTTTTCAAAGATATTGATACCAGGAGGCAGGGATTCTTCACATGGTTGCTCCTGGATGAAAACAAATTCGTTTACAACCCAGAATTACAAAATGCTAGCAGAATTAGGTAAATGTTATGATCAAATGTTTCCAGAATTGAAAACAGGTATATACTGACCTTGGTTATATTTGTTAATATTCTTTTACAATAAAAGTTATCCAAGCGATTAGTGGTATCCAAGAACATAGAATGGATATCTTGGAATAACAGGCGATACAGCTTGAGATGCTGAAGTGGTAACATGACCCGTTCCACGTTTAGCCGTTTGCTAAATGAAGCTGCTACTATTTCATATTTGCTTCTCCTGAAATACATTACAAATTAAATTAAATTAAATTAATTATGTATGTCCTTAGTCAACAACTCAGAGGCTGATTATAAATCAAGCATAAGAGAATTATGGAAGAAGCAGATACAGACAAATAAAAGACAAAAAGAGATAACGTGTATCATAATTAAATTCATTTCATTTCTAATTTATTTATGTGCTAACTTAACAGCCCAAAACTAAACACAAGGTGAGCACAAGTAAAGGGAAAGAAACACATACACACACACAGAAATGATACAAAATCAAAGCATTTTATATAATTTTAATGTTTAAGATTTGATTCAATTCAATTCCTTTATGTAAGTGGTGTGTAACACTGGAGCGCTAAAAGTATACATAATGAAAGCCAGACTATGGCTAGAACTAGAACTGGAACTGCAACTAGACTACAATTTAATCCTAGGCAATAAAATACTAATAATACTAGTAACATGATAATGACGTAATTCCATAAAATTAAGAAAGGAAAATGTATCATTAAGGGGAATGTTGTGTTTATTCAAGAAGTCTGAGATTTGCAGACACTCATCATCATCCAAAAAAGTCTTTTAAGCCAGACTTTCCTTCAAATTAGGAAACAAGTGATAGTTGTTTGGTGCAAGGTCTGGGCTGTGTGGTTGCTTTGTTGCTTATGTTAGAAAAAATTAAATCAACTAAATTGCTGCTGCCGACAGTATCAATGCACTGGCTATGCGTAGATTACATTTCCATTAGGTTCAGAGTAATAATGGGAATTGGGCAAAGATTGACCACTTTTCTGGTCAAAACCAGGGAAGTTATAATCTCCAACCATAATTACTTGAAATAATAATAATAATAATGGCGAAGAAGAAGAAGGAGACGGAGGAGATATGATGATCAGCAAACATAAGGGGACTGTCAATCCATAAATATTGTCAAGTGTTTGGGTGGTACACATGACGAAATGATGGCTTCTAGTTCGGATGATTGGATTTATTAACACTTTGGTTACAGCACCATCATTGACTTACACACTTTCCATTTCACACTTGCACACACATTAGGATTCCCAGTCTTCTCTAGTCATCTCTTGGTAATGGATCTCAACACAAAAACGATAACAGTCTCACAGAATTACACACTCAAAACATTACAAATAATTAGACTTCAATTCCCAGTCTTCTCTAGTCATCTCTTGGTAATGGATCTCAACACAAAAACGATAACAGTCTCACAGAATTACACACTCAAAACATTACAAATAATTAGACTTCAATTCCCAGTCTTCTCTAGTCATCTCTTGGTAATGGATCTCAACACAAAAACGATAACAGTCTCACAGAATTACACACTCAAAACATTACAAATAATTAGACTTCAAATTACACATGAAGTCTTCATTCAACAAACTTGCCATGGCTATCTTCCACCAAGAACTCTCTCATAGTCACTTAAACACTCAAACACGTAAACACTCTAAAATACTCTGAAACACTCACTCCGAGAACTGACTTGAGTGGAACTGCCCTTAAAACTCTCAAATACTGCCATCTGTTCTGTCTCTAACTGCCTTGATATAGCCTCCGCACCGACCACGCACAGAAAACAGCCTACATTGTTGAAGAGAAGTGCTTACCGCAACGTTGAACAGCAGCAAGTGCTGTGCAGTGTGGCACAGCACGGAGAAAACACCGCTTTCTTTATTGTTGATCAATCGCTGCACCCACAGACCTCCATGGCTCAATAGCTCTCGCATGGCATAAATATGCCACAGTTACTTAATCATGGAGTTGAGCCCTTCTGGAGGAGCCGCCAATTCTGCAGCTACTCAAGAATTTCCCAGCATTTTATGGAACCCGATGGTTCATTACCGTGTTCACAAGAGCCCTCCACTGGTCCCTATCCTGAGTCAGATCAATCCAATCCATACCATCACATCTTATCTCTCTAAGATCCATTTTAATACTGTCTACCCACCTAAGCCTTGGTCTTCCCAGTGGTCTCTTTCCTTCTGGCTTTCCCACCAATATCCTATATGCATTCCTCGTCTCCCCCATTCATGCTACATGCCCTGCCCTCATCCCCCTTGACTTGATCATTCTAGTTATACTTGGAGAAGAGTACAAGTTATGAAGCTCAAATATGCCACAATATAAAATAATTTTAGCAATCATTGCATTCAAATATATAATCTCTAACCCTCCCTGTCTTTATCACGACTTCAAGTATATTTATTAGAAATGATGTTCGAAACTCGGAGCAAATACGAGAGGATAGTAGCATGTGTTCAAATTGTAGATAGTTTTTGGATTAGCCTCATCAATTCACATATATGGAAAGTCAGAGAATAAAACAAAAAAGAACATCACAAATTTCTTTAATCTACAACATTAGTCAAATATTGCTTCAGTACATGTGAGCGAGAAACTTACCTCCGACATTATAACTCAACAACAAGAATTCAAAGAAATAAAATGCTTTTATTTGTAAGTACACTTGTATTTTTATAAGGAACCAACATCATTATAAAGCCAATTTACTCACAAGTGAACTAATACATACATGGCATTATGCAGGACAGTACAAAGGTCCTCTTGGTGGCTGCAATAGGTTATGTAACTCTGGAGCTCTGATGCCATGTCTTCGAACATTTTGTTTAGTGCTTTCAAGTTCACAACTGGTTTCATATTCCATTGTTCCTCAAAGGTGCTCAGAAAGCCATCAGAGCAGTGTTTTACTGCCACAAGGAGAGAGTGAGATGATTATTTCAAAACAGAATTCTATATGTTCAAAGCAATATGAGGATCTGCAGTTGTATTATATCCATAAGATGAATTCTGCCAAGAATGAAATTATAGTAATGTAATCAACTTCTTTCAGAAGCAAACAGTCATTCATCTAATAAAAATATCCCTCTTGTTATGGAGGGGTGTACTCATCAAATTAGAAGCCTACCTTCGTAATCTATTTTGGTCTACAGTTAAATTACAAAATATCCCTCTATAGGTCCTCTAATTAGTGTATTTTCATATATATATACACATTCACTAAAAACTGTAATTATTATATATATATATATA